TTAAAATTAGAATCTTGATCAATGTAAATTAAAATTACTGTCTTAATTAATCATTACATTTGATATAGAATTTAAATTTCAAAAATAAAATGTTATAAAAAAATAAAAATATATGTACTATATTTAATATTTTTTAAAAATTTAGGAGGCACATGTCAACAGTGAAAAAAAACTCCGTTGGTCTCGTTAACGGAATATTTATCGAGTATATTATTTTAAAATAAAATTGATAATTTATAAACCATTCTAAAAAAAATTATTTCTAAACTAAACTTAAATAAATTATATAATTAATAAATTATTTATTAAATTTAATCCCTTTTTCCCTTTGACCAGGTACTTTGTGGAGAGCTTGTCAACATTTTTTTAATATTCATGTGATCAGATGGTAGATGATAGCTCTAGCTATTTAGGGCAACCTTTTTTCGATTTTTCGCTACAAATTGAACTCAGTTTCAGTCACAAAGTAGATTTTTTCAAAACCAATGTGATTTTGTTAATAAATACATGAAAATTAGGATGTCACATAAAAATTATTTATAAAATTATTTAAGTACTTTTAATAAATTTTTTAATATTTATATTCATTTAAGAAATTTAAATTTTCTTATTATCATTTTTAATATTTTAATTATCAGAATAATTTTATTTTTCACAATCCCATTGATTAATACATGTGATTATTGTTTTGAAAAAGTATTGTATAATATAAATTGTACAATTTAAATTATTAAATAAAAAAATGAGTTTTTCGATATTAAGAGTTATTTTTTTATCTAATAATTTATATTTTGTGGTTTAATATAATTTTTTTTAGATTAGATTACTTTAACTTGTGTTTAGTGGTAAGTTTTCTTTCTTTTTCTTTTTACACATAATAATGAATTATATAAAATGGGATAATCTTTTTTTATTTTCAAATCCCTTTCCTTTATATTGAAAACTCAAATTTGAAATCTCTAATTTAAAATTTCAAAATTTTAATCCTTAAATCATTTCATTAAAGTTATATTTAGTGATAAAATTAAAATTGTATTAAATATATATTTTAATAAAATAATTTATATTAAAAGAAAAAAAATTATTATTTAATTTATTAATTATTTAATTAAATTCATTCATTTAATATTAAAATTAATATTAATTTTTATAATTTTTTTATATATATTTAAAATAAAAAAATATTCTTAACTGTACCTGTAGAAAAACCCCTTAAATTTTCCCGAATCTTTACTTTTCAATAAATTTCCAAATCTACACATCCAGTACCCAAAATACGAACGGCAGTGGAAGGGAAGATGACAACACAGTAAACCCGGTTTGGGTGCTTTTTGACTTTTCTTAATTTTATTTATATTTTATAAATTAAATTTTTTTTTTAAAAAAAATATATTTTTAAATTTTTTTTTAACTTTAAAAA